AGAGATAGAGATAGAGATAGAGATAGAGATAGAGAGAGAGATAGAGATAGAGATAGAGATAGAGATAGAGATAGAGATAGAGATAGAGATATCTGCGTGTGTGTATCTGTATATGTCTATACGAGATGTGGCAAGATGCACTACACAGACATAGTACATGCATGCATGCACACAAGTTATACTGCGATACCAATGCACCACACCATACTGCACGATACAGGGAGCGATGCTTCGTGTAGAGCACGGATGCTGCAGGACAAAGTCACTGCACAGGATGTTGATAAGAATAAGCAAAACAGTACTAATTCAACTAGCATCACGTTGCAGCTTGATGTGAAAGCTTAGACCGGCAGTGCCATGACAAAGTCATGATGCTGTAAAGCGCTCAAAGCTGGTGGGTGCAGAAACCTTCGCCTACACAAGACCCGATGATACACAGACGGGGTTCGTGATGGTGCGTGCAGGCCTTGTTTGAGAAGCTCCCAGCCTTTTGAGCCATGGCGGGGACCGAAACAGAACATCTTTGGCCTCCGGAGCTTTGCCCTCCGACCCAGCATTTGCGGCTAGTTATCAGAAGGCCCCGTTGCTTTCAGCAACACGACTTTCCTGGATATGCTGACTGCGATGCTGCGGCGATGCCAGCAAGGACTTCTGTGCAGAAAGCTGTCTCTGGCTTCTAGCTGAAGGTCTTTTTGAAGAAACTTCGACGTCGCAGGAGCTTATTGCACAGACTGTCTGACAAGCAAAAAGTCACAGAAGCATGAAGTCAAGACCTTGACTATAGAACATTCACCTCAGTAGACGGCCGAGGGTTGTGGATTGGAGCCTTTGCCAACCTGCCCAGATCTTAGACACGGATCGCGGATCACTTGCGACAGGCTGTACCAGGACATATCTTTGCATCTTCCCAGAACTGCCCCTCAGCTCAAGCTCATCCCAAAAAAAAGCAAGGCTTCGCAGCGCGTGAGGCGGCGGTGGAGATACTCTAAAAACACGACCAGCCTCATGGATCTTGAGACCCAAACCCAAAAATTCTCAACCCCGAAGGGCAGCAGGATTACCTGACTTCATTGTCGGCGTTTGAATGCGCACAGTTGGCCTTCGAACAGGAATCCCTGCAACCCTCGAAATCGAATCAATGGTTTTTGTAGCCGATTCGGATTTCAGTGAATAGCAATAGCATTTGCAGGGCCAAAGCAAGGAAAAAGACCTGAACACCAGCAAGCAAAGAAAAACCTGAACACCAGCCTTCCGGCCCTCTTCTTCAGACGCATCACTCGCTCTGGTGCCGGATGAGGGGTATCTCAGTCGAGGCAATTCAGCACATCTTCTGGTGCATGTTGGGCTGAAGGTGCAGGAGGTGTCATCAGAAGATAAGATATACTGGCGGGACCTGTCAGCACCAGACGTCATGAGGACACGGCCACCCACGAGAACCGTGAATTTTATATCCAGAACCAAACAACAACGACGAAATTCAAAACCCAAGAGACCCTTGTTCCAAAATAACACGCTTCGAAAGCTCACACCGGTCAGCCTGGGCAGCGGGATCCTCCGCGGCTACCTGTGCATTTTTTTAATGCAGTAGCCCCCTGTGCGTTTAGGTTGCTGGAGTCCTTTGCAAAGGCTAAACGGGACATGCTGGCACGGAGGATTTAAGGAAGCTCGGACGAATGTCGCGGAGAGGAAGCATCAGAATCTGAATCCTTTGCGGCTCTTGGAACCGAGGTTAAGAGTAGGAGACGACTTTGCATCGCGAAACGTGACAATCACTCAGGGGAGGCACACAAAACGTCTCATGCTGCTTCTTGGACCCAAAATGCGGCCTCCGTTGCCGTGGAGAGGGCTCGCTCCAGCAAGAGCGGTGGAGCGGGGCCGGACGATGGAGGGGGCCGCATCCTTTCGCTTCTGCAACGTGGACACAGGCTCTGCAACAACGCAAGCTAATCAGTATGGCGCAGGCTGACAACGACACATGTAGAAACAAAAGTGCTGAGTTCCACCAAAATCCAAACCTTTCCCTTGATCCTAAAGACCCGACATATCTCAGAAATCCGCCCCTGCCCCTTTATCCCTTTAGGTCAAGCCCAGTCACAGCTTTATCGCTCGCATAGCGTTCCGAAGAGTAGTGGCAGCCTGCCGCCCGGGATTTATCGGATTTTGCCTTGGGCCTGGGGTGTGGGAGAAAGCCTTTTTTGCTCACATGAGTGAGTAGCTGTGGTAGTGCTGGCATGTTGCTTTAATGAGGCTGCTGCAAGCTTTCCCGAGACTCCCAAGACAGGGCAGCGCTTGAGCTCTCCCGTCGACTAGATTCGCTTGTTGCACCTTCCACTTTCGGGGGCCCAGCAGGCTGCGCTCACGCAGGGCCAGGCGCTTCTTCCTGAGATACCAGGCCAAAGCTTTGCAAACTTTCCCTCACCTTACCACGAGAGCAGAACCGACGGGGCTTGCATAACTTTGCCAATGGCGGGCGAGCGCAAAACTGGGAGTCGGGTTGGGCTTGGTCGGTTCTGAGTGGCGATGCCTCCATGCAGGAAACCCCTCAGCCCATTCTCTCCAAGTCTCTCTTGCTTCAGCGTCGTGGCAGCATCCTTCAGCGCCTTCACGGCTGCGTCAACCTTTGAGAAAAGTTCAAAACATGACAGCAGAGTCTGGATGACTCTAGGATACTCTGGGTATACTCTGCTTGCACTTTGCCCGTCGTTACGGAACTTTGGGGCTCCCCGCCTCGCCCGTGAGATCGGCGGGCACTCGCGACCGCAGCTGCTCCAAAGTCAAGGCGCAATCCTCCACCGCCTGCTGCGACTGCGGCGAGACGACTCCAGCACCGTTAACATCAGCTGCCACAGTGTGTAAGTCGATAGGATAACTGTTGCCAGGGGGCTCTTGGCTCTACCAAGTCCAAGCAAACTGCAAGAATCCGGAGAAGGCACACGGTTGCACGAGCACAGTATACTAGACTCATCAGACCCAGCGAAGCACCTACAGAAAACTACCCGGCCTTCGGATCTGTTGCAGTTTCCGCCTTGGCAGAATCATCATCCACTGCCAGCTGCTGCTGGACCAGGTTCGCATACTTGCCGCCCACCTCCGCCCATCTCCAACCGAGGCAGGTTCTCGCACGCGGTCTTAAGTTCAAGTCTGAAGAGCATGCACGCATTTGGAGCGGAGAGACTACAACTATCATTCAGTATAGTCACAGTATGCTTAGAGAGGACCTTCACACTTCAGCTTGTGTGGTTGCGAACGAAGCTGTTCTCGCTCTACAGTCTACACCTTCTGCAAGAGCTCCGCATGTGTGCCCTGCTCTATGATCTTGCCGGATTCCATGACCTCGGCTGTCCACACCAAGACACGGGCAGCAGACTCAATACACCTTCCAGGCCAAGGTAGACACATCAAAAAACAGCACAGCTTTGCACCTATGCAAGCCGCGGGGCCATGATCAGATTCGCATTCATGATCGTGGACAGCCGATGGGCGATGGCAATCACAGTCCGTCCCTTCATCAGCGACTCCAGTGCCTTCTGCACCTGATGGGCGATCGGCATTGCACGGTTATGTTTCTGTGCCGATCCCGAACCCGAAAGTCTCCCGCATCCACGAGCACTGCCTTCCGCTCCGAGACCGTATCCAGCGCCGAGGTGGCCTCATCCAGAAGCAGGATCCTCGAGTTGCCGAACCAAGGGCAAATGCCGATGACAGAGAGTGTCCGTCTCGAAGCTGTCTTGCAACTCTCACAGATGGCCCTGATCCTCGGAAACCTTAAACCGCCTTAGGCCTTCGGACCGAATGCAACTTTACCTAAATGGACCGCGGTGCTTTGGGTCCGTGAGCACGGCCCTTGCGATGGAGAGTCGCTGCTTCTGGCCTGAGCCCAAGCCGGTTTAGGCCAAGGAACCCAAATCAAACTTTGAGCCATGAGAGCCAAGTAAATACGAGCGTATGAAGCCCGAGAGGCCCATCAAGCATGCTCCTAGAATCGTGCTACACAGGGACGCGGCACCATATGTCCGGCAGTTCTGTCTTATTCAACAGCGAAGATCTTCTGCTACTCGGCGCCTCCAACATGAAGACATTAAGACCCGGAATCTGGAAGTCCCGAATTCTCGAAGGCCCTACAGTCTTAAAGAGCAAGGCCTGGAACCCCCTTCTCGTGCCAAACCCTCCTGAACTTCCCCGGCGAAAAGCTCCCCAACCCAAAGGCCTCCGGAGAGCTCGGCAGCAGGTGTGGCGACGCCCTGCGGCTTCTTCATGACGTCCTCGGAGGCATTCAGGTTTGGATCTGGGTGCTTTCGGGTTTTGGCTTGCAGCCGAACTGTCGGCCCTGAGCGCGGTGGCATCCAATGGCACTCCCTGAGCCCATTGACCACAGCAGAGCCACTATCGGCAGCCGGGCATCGTCATAGAGGTCTGCCTCGCGCATGGCCCTCAGCACGTCCTCTTCTGAGGCATCCGGCACTCCGTAGCGAATGTTGTCCAGAACCTTACATGCCCCGGCAGTCAGTCCAAGATGAACAGCTTCAGGCGGGTTGCGAGTGGGGGCTTTGGAATTCGCTAGAGAGACGGGCGATAAAACCTCGCCAGAGCATGAATCTCATGGTTTCAAAGGTCGAGCAAATTTGGAGCCCGTACACAGCACATTCCCTGAAAATCCTACAACTGATGTTAAAGTCGAGAGGCGGAACCCTGGAAGACACATTGGTCCTGAGACACCCAGGCAACGGCCCGATAAAGTGCCTGTGGGTTCCAGTTGGCCAGGCTTATCCCGTCGATCTCGAGGGATCCACTCTGCGGGTCGTAGAAGCGCAAGAAAAGGTTGAAGAGGGTTGACTTCCCACATCCTGACGGACCAACCAGCCCAACCATAGACCCCGCCGGGATGTTAAACGTTACGTCCTTAAGCACCGCAGCCTCCATGTCTTCCGTGTAGGCGAAAGACATGCTTTTGGCCTGGATGTGGCCCTTGATCTCTGCAGGTGCCGGGTTGTGCTTGGAGGTATCCTCGAAAGGGATCGCCGGCGGCCGCTCCAAAGCCTCCAGTACGGCCTCTGCGTCAGCTGCAAATGTCGTCTTGGTCCGAAGGCGGTGCTTGAGCCTATAAAGTGGCCAGGTCGTCTTGAAAACTTTACCCACTGCCTCTCTGACCTCCTCCGCCCCGATGTACTTTAGGTTCACCAATGTTCCACCATACATGTATGCGACTTGAAAAGCAAACTCCCCTGTGAACCAGGATCCGACTTCGGTCAGGAAAGACACGTAGTTACTCATCTTGCGCGTAAGTTTCTGCCGGATGCTTTTGAGAAAGGCCTGCTTTTCCCGGTCCTCCCGCGCAAAGGCCCGGACAATGCGGAAGTTCTGCAGCACTTCTAAGGCATTCTCCTTGATCTCCTCGGTGACCGCATCATGGTCCTGAGCGACCTGAAGCATCGCATCAAAGATTCCGAATCCAATGTTCTGGAATGCGAACATGCCGAAGCCAAAAGCGCAAAGCCTTGGCTTTCGAAACCAAAGAAGCCCAACATTGGTAATAAGGTTGGATACCATATTCAGCAGTTCGGGGATCTCGCGTGTGAAGACTCGCTGCACATTGTCAGTTCGCTGCATCAGCGTTTTGTACAGCTCGTCAGCGCCTTTCTGGGAGATCCACTTGACATCTTGTTGGATCAGACGTTCAAAGAGATCTCCTCGCAGTCTGCAACCGATCTTGTCCCCAGCACTCTCCATCAGCCAGCGAGACCAATCGAAGAGCTGATTCACGAGACCCCAAAGAAGAAGTCCTTGACTCAAGACTCCAAGCAGCTCCGAGTTGGACTTTCCAGCATGCTTGCCGGAGAATAGCGACATGTCATGAGCATTGGCCTCAACACTCATTAAACGGGATACCGTAGCATGACACTTATTCTTACTGTAAGCGTGTGCAACAAAACAGGGAATGACTGCGAGCGATCCCGGCCTTGTCCACAACAATGTTGCCCAGTATACTGAGCCCTGTGCCGACACCGATTCGCAAAAACTCGGGCGCCGCCACTGCTGCAAAGCCTACAGAATGGTCTCGAAGACTGTTTTGTTCCACTGCGACTACTATCTAGATGCTAAGGCTGAGGTGGCAGATCGACAAAAGGGGAAGTATATTTAACAATCACCCGTCCGAGACACGTCGAAACAGCCGCCAGAAAGAAGGGGGCGCTTTGCCTTCCAACTTGAAGCTCGCGACTTGCTTCCAGGACTTGCAGGTGAAGTCCTCCAAGTCCGTCTCCCAAACGCTAAGTTCTTTGGCGACGAAGGATGTCTCGAGAAGGGATGCTGTCTCCTTGGCCACCTCCTCTCGGGCCTTTGCTGGCCCATCAGTATACCCCAACGAGATGTGCGGCCGGAATCCCAGCTTCTCGCTTTGAGCATCAAGCCCATGGGCGCAAGTTCGTTGTCAAGTCTAGGCATCCCAGCGGAAGGGACGAGCCTGGGCTAATTCCACCGAATGCTGAAATGAAGTTCCGCTTCAACTCACAGCCCGGCCTAAATCCTTCAATGCTGCGCTTCAGAAGACCCATGGCTCTTTGGCATCCGTCCGCCTTTACGAGAAACTGGCTTGGAACAGCAAGGCGCTTGTGTCCTAAACCCCGAGGCCCAAGGCTCGAAGAGCTGAGCAGGAAAGTGGGAAGCGGCAACCCTCTGCTTCCATGTCCAGGCGCAGGATGCCAATCGGCCCCCTACAAGTAGAAGGTGGCCTAAACCCCCATAAAGCCTTAAACCCGAACCCCCTAAGAGCATCAAGATAGCCAGCATTCCCACGCTGACATGTCCGTTCGGGGCTCCCGGCCAAGTCTTCGGCACTGTGCTTCAGAACCGGCTGAGTGGTGTACGTGTTTAGCCTGTGGTAGCAAAGGGTTGGCGAGGTCTGGACCGTCTAGCCCTGAGCGCCGAATCACAAGGCACACTCGTTTCTCATCGAGAGAAGCTTCCCGCTCCGCTGTCCCCATGGACTGTGCCATAATGTCCGGCTGGGCTAGATTGCGACATTGAAGTTCATGTCTCAAGAATCATCAGACTACTCCAGGGACAGCCCCTGATCGAAGCCCGAACTAGACTTGAACTCTCTGCGCCTGTCCACAACGAAGCCGCGCGCTTCGAGTCCCTGACATTTGGCTTGTTGCTGTCATGGATAGTAGAATGTCGGATTGTGGGACCAATTACACAGGAGCCGAGGGACGCTGCAGTCTGCGAGTCGGCGGGGGCTTCACACGGCTTGGCCACAGTTGGCAGAGTCTCTCACGCGGAGAATCCCTTCTTTCTGCGAAGTGGCTGATGGCGAATTGCGGGAGCTGTTGATGGTGCCGTCTTTCGAGCACATCACGACCCGGCCGCTCGAGGGCTCATTAACACTGACATGCAGAGACTTCTGCGCAACAAAAGATGAGGGCATTTGCAGTCGCATCAGGGATCACACGATCAGAACCGATTGCAGTAGACGGGACAGACATTGCTGAAAGCAATACAAAGTATGTCTGCTTCGCACCCCCAGTCGGATTCTCCGGCGACTTCCCCCGCATACACGACTGAGCTTTCTCGAAGGTTACCATGATCATCGCAGACCTCTGTGGTATGCCATAGTACTTACAGGAATACCGCGAGGGAAGAGGGCCGGCAACTTAAGCACATGGTAGCGTGAAGTAAGTTGCAATGCTTGAGCCCTTCGAAGCGGCTGTTCATGCTCGGAGGCTACTGCGGCTACTGCTGATGATGCACTACATTAATATAAACTGCAGGTGACCTGGTGACCTATTGCTTAATTGCCAGGGATTTGATAGTTCTCTTCCCTGCAAACACGTCCTGACATTTCGCAACGCGAAGTGTCGAAGCAGACAGCGTCCGCTAAGATCCCTTCGCTGCTCGGAGCGACGCTTGTATCTCAGCAACGGCGTCCTGAAGCAAAGCTTTGGCCGGTGGAGTGGTGTGTCATTTTCTTCGCTGAAGGCACCCATTACCCAGTTGCAGCAACTGAACGAGCATGCCCGTGCCGTGCCCAACTCTTCCTGATAATGAGAGCCCAACTGGCAGTCTAGCTGGAAAGGACAATCACGATTGTTGCAAATCTCGAGCACATGGTTGGAGGATCTCTTTTCGCTTCATCATGTAGCATCAGCAGCCACAGGACGATCCACAGCCACGTTCAGAAGACCAAACCCGGCAACTCAACATCCCAAGCCCGCCTCCCCAGAAAATCCAGAAAGCTGTCCACAAGCCCATCGGCCTTCAGGGCAGCTGGACTGTCTTTGGTCCACTGAAACTGCCAAGCCTGCACGCGGCCAGGTACACGAGGCGGTTGGGATTGAGGGAGCAGGACTACGGCTAATGGTGCAGCCCAGGTTTTGCATCTTGCTTCCAGGCTCATCTGCAAGAAGGCTGTCTTCCACAGAAACTGAAAGTTCAGTCCGTGTTGAAACATCCCCTGCAATCGTTCAAGCAGGCATTCCAAGTGGTTCCACACTCAGTCCACACTTGCAGTGTCTCAAAAAAATCGACTCAAGATCATGTCAATGACCCAGCACAGAAACAACCTTGTGGGCTGTCTGTTTGGCCTAGTTGTCTAGCTGATACCCCCCAAAAAATCGAACGCTCTCCCTTGTGAAAACCCTTTAAAGAAATGCAGACCTCAAACGCCAAGGCTTTCGCCCTGTGAAAGCGGTTCAAGACTTCACAAATCAAGACTTCACAAACAAAAACTCAGATATCGGAAGTGCAGTGCCTCCTAAATCCGAAAATGCCAGCCCGAGGCCTAGCCCTAAATGCGATTGCTGTGAAGCTATCAAAACAATACCGCGGAGCCCAACGCCCTTGCACCCTGCCAACTCTCACACCCTGAAAGGCCCTGTGCCAGCCCTTTCGATAGTTTCGGACTGCACTTGTGGTTCCTCAACTCCACCGTGCAAAACTTCAATCGCACTTCAGCCCCTCCTCACACCTTTGCACACCACCCGAGGCGAATGCCTTAAGCTTTGTCACTCCCCATTTCACCCAAGCGCCTTCCCCTCGGAGGTCTCCCGAAAACCCAGGGCCCGCCTCCAAATCCGTTCAGGGTGATGTGGAGTTTAGGGCTTAGGGTTTGGGGCCATGGTGTCTGGAGTCCTCCGGAGCTCATGGTCCCGTGCTTAGTCGGGCCAGGGGCAGGATTTCGGGTAGAGCCGCTGCACCCTGGAATTCAGGTCCAGGCCAAGCCAGTTCCAGCTGGCAAACGAAGAAGACTTGTTTGTCTTCTCTTCCTAACGACTAACAACCGTGAACAATCTAAGGGATCCCGGCCACTCAACACCCCTTGGGCCACCGCATTGCCGGACCAGCCACATCCGATGCGCCAAGGGCCTCTTGAAAACCAAAGAGTCTGCCTAGCAGACATTAGCAGATGTTTAGCGAAAGAATCTGCAGCACTAGTATCAGAACAAAAAACGCAAGCTTCGCATGACGTGCTCCGTGTCCGTATCCCAGAAGTGAATCGAAATCGAAGCAGGCTTCGCTTTCGCCAGGGCATCGGCGCCAACAACCCCGTGTCTTCTCGGCTTCGAAGGAAATTCCGTTGAGGTGGCAACATGACATTGTGACAAACGGAGCAACAAAGCCGTCAATAAGAGGAATCATGCTCCCACCTCGGAAAACACCGCGTTTCCCTTCCAGATCAGCATGTACCTCAATGCTTCCGAGGCCACAGCACTACCCGACACCCCTTGCCATCTCACGCTGAAGACATGCTGAAACGGTCTCTGAGGAGATGGCTTCGGATCCTGCGGGTGCTCTATCAAGTTCTGCGCCTCAGACACATGCGGATCTGATACAGCTCCCGGAAGCCTCTCCTTCACAAGACGAATCAGACATCTAGAGCTGCGCATGGAGAACAACGAGCCGGTGGCCACACGGAGCAGAACACCCAGAGCCCGTCGACGGCGAACCTTCGGCTCTTGTTGCCGATTAGTCTTCGACCGCTGCCGACTACTGCCTCCCGAGGTGTGCTGTCATGCCACGATGCACCTGTGCCTGCTTCTCTCGAGACACAGCGCTTGACTCCTTTCTTGGGTCCCGCACTGTCGGCTCCATGGCAGCTAGCCCATCCAGAGCTGAGCCCAACCTCTTCGGGGATAGTGCTCAAGCATTTCAAGCCCTAGCGGCCCTAGCAACAAACGAGAAGCCAAGGCCTTGGGAACGAAGGAGCCTTTCTACTGTTATATCAAGAAATCACATGCATTCCCACCCCTGCCTGGCTTGGGCCATTGGGCTCGCTGTTGCCGTGGCTGTGGAGCGGAGAAGTCTGCCACAGCAAAAGATCAATCATGCATCACTGTATCTTACGAATAAGCAAAGGTAATTGACATGTGCGGCATGTAGTAGCAGTCGGCATGCCCATGGACTGCTGGTAGGGAGGCATGGACGAATGCATGGGGACTTGCAAAAAATGGCGCCAGGGATACGGACGCGCAGACATGATGGGTCCTGCATTCGCCAATGATCTCGCTTAAACAGACATGATGTGGACATGGGACACCTACTGCTGCACCATGAAAGGACACTGCATCAGCCCAACGCGCAATGTGGTCCTGCCCTGGGCAGACCTGCCAAGAGAGACTCCTGGCAGGTCAACTTGGGTTCGGAATGGTGTCGACCCAAGTCCTTGTTGGATAAAACCTGTTGCCTTTGCCACCGGCAACCTCGGGAATTCATCTCTGAAACCTGCTTGTGGCCAAACCTCTGCCAAGCGCTGGTGCTGTGCCAACACCGCTGCGCTGCTCAAGGCAGCCAAGGTCCAGACCTGGGCAAACTCTCCCTGCCTCAATCTGAGCGAACTTGTAGAATGTGCTTGTGGTGTCAGTCTCACTGACAACGGGAACTGAATGTCGGGGTTTGGGAGTGTAGCGTCACCCCCCAGCACCTCCTTCCTCCCCGGCTCTCACCAGGTGCACTCATGTACCGGTGTGCAACTGACGCTCTTCCCGCTCAAGTTGTGCATGGTACCTATGTCCCCGTAACTCAACTTCTCAAGTGCTGCAAAATTACCTGAAACTGGCAAAGTATACAAACACTTGAAGGAGTGAAAACGAATTGAGAGTTTTAGCATCTATGCATGCTGATGCCAAGACCCGTTCTCCTGCTGGGTTCGTCACGTTTTGCCCACGAGGCCCGCACCAGGAAAAGGGTCACTGGCGAATCCAACACTCGACAGACCTGCACTCCAACATCCAGCGAAATATGGGCATGTGGTCTACAGGGAGAAGAGAGAAGAGAGAGAAGAGAGAAGAGAGGGAAGAGAGAAACGAGAGAAGAGAGAAGAGAGAAGAGAGATCACAGAAGAGAGAAGAGAGAAGAGAGAAGAGAGAAAGAGAGAGATGAATAAGTATGTGCATATGATATGTTTGTATGTACACACATATCTATATATATATATATATGCGCATATACACATATAAACCTATATGCAAAAACACATGTACATGTGTGTATACATACGTGTATGTATATATATATATATGTATGTATATATATATATATACATATATATATATATATGCGCATATACACATATGTACATGTGTGTATACATATATATATATAAAGACCGATCTACATATCTACATATACACATATACACATATACACATGTATGCATGTACACATATACATATATGCATATATACATCTACACATACTTAAATATATACATACATATATACATACATATACATATATATGTATATATACCGAAAGCTATACATACATACATACTTTTGCACTTTGCTCGTTGCAGAGTTGTACTCGGCTGGCGAACTGGAGGACAGGTGGTTTCACCCGGCAGCGCTGTGTTTCACACATCCTCCCCCCTGAAGAAACTACGGAACCCGTGGGCGACTCTCGCCCCCGGTACTAGTACCCAGACGAAGCAGGGCAGGTCACACGATAGTAAAAGAGCAAATACGTATCAGCATACAAGCTACCAAGAGAGGACAGAGTAAGCTCGGTGGAAGTGACACCATCATCAGAGTACCACAAACGATCACACCTGTCAACTAACACATTCCTGTAGTGACCTTGAGTCGGGGTCATCCCCAGATGAATGATAACAGAGCTGAGCCGATAAACGGTGGAATGGCAGGCCTCTCCAGAGTCGGTATCAAAAAGCGGAAAGGTAATCTGCAAGGATGGCGCCACCCTATACCTGCGTTTGAGAGCACGGACCTGCCTTCCATCAAAATCGAATCGACCTACTTGTAGAACCATGGTCTCCGCCGGAAAAATCGCCGCATGGGTCTGCTCCTGCACATGCCAGACCTGGATCAGATCCTGAACAGTGTAAAGCCTATCAACATCATCAAAGGAGGTCTCAGGCGGCAGAAGACAAAGAGGCAACGATTGGCCTCCATCAGTGACCTGCGGGCGACCGGCATTCGTGGTCCTGGCTTGCCAGGATACCTCGATCCCCGAAGCTTGAAAGAGCCTGCACCCCGAAAGGTGCTGAAGGAACTCCGCAGCATCGTGCTGGCGTTCCGGGTTTTCCCAAAGCTGCATCTGTGAGAGCCAATCGGGATCTTCCCAGATGTGAAAAACTCCCTGATTGTGAAGCAAACGCTCAGTCATGCTACGAAGTTTGCCTCGGAAGAACCTCGTTGACCTCGATTGGGCCTCCAGATGTAGCAGCCCCCTAAGGACAGCATTGGAGTAACAGAAGTTGCGCTTGTTACCCAACTTTGCCCGGATCACAACATCATGGCCTAACGCATCAGTGAACTTAGGCGCTTGGCCAGGGCACTCATCTTCATCCTCTCGTGCCGCAGGTAGCATCCACCTGCCGCCCAAACCGCCGAACCCGCCAGCTGATGAAGGCAATGCCACGTGTCCTGAGCCGCCCTTGTTCTGAGCCCCACCTCCAGAAACATCCCAAGGGACGTGGCCTGATACTCCTCCGCCAACGGCCGGGTGGCGTGGAAGCGCTGGATCACAAACTGCTCCGGGGCCGCAATCACCAGTTTGGTCAGGGCCTCCTCGATTTCCTGGGGCGAGAAGGAGGGAGCCGCCTCGTCTTTGACATGTTGTTTGCTCGTGGCATCCCATTTGATGCCGTACACCTGTTGGCCATCGGCCGAGATCCATCCCATCCCCGCCGCCGTCGACCTCGCCGACGGCGTAGCCAACATCGCCTTGAATCTGTCCCGGATCACTTCGAGAAAATGTTGGTAGAGGACAACTCTCATCGGGGCCTTCAACGACTGGGGGTCGTCCCGCTTGGCTTTGTGCCAGGCTTGTCCTATGTGGTACAAGCTTTGTCCCAAGTTTTGCAGCGTCCGAGTCTGGACGAAGATCATGAAACCTGTATCTTGTCTCAATATGGTTTGTTGCGTCTCCTGACGCAACACCATGGTGGAGAGGAGGCTGACCATGTTCCTCATTTCCTTCATCTCGTCCTGCTGCTGGTCTTGGTCCTGCGCTCCCTGGCGCTGGGCAGTCCGGGCCTGGCCTCGTCGCTGTTGTCGCGGTGCTCCCGGTCCTGGGTGCGGCTGCTGTCGAGGAGGTTGCCAAGAGTGCTCGGATCGAGGGGCCGGAGGTCGGCTGTCCCACTGTCGACGTCCTTTGCCGGGTGGTCGAGGATCGTTGGGGTCTGGCTTTGGCCACTTGGCTGGAGGGCCGCTTCTGCTCTCCTGGTCGTAGTCCGACTGATCGAGCTCCGGATCCCATCCCGAGTCCAGTCCGTTGGCCTTCGGGTTGTGCGGGCTGTGGGCTAAGGACCGTAGGATGTTGAGCTCCTGAGTCGCCATCATTAGCTCCGTTGGTGGGGCCATTTCCGGCCTTTCGAACATGGCTGTCAAGGGATTCAGCTGAGCAGCCGGTCAGGACCAGGGCCTTGCCTCTAGCAAGCCTACGGTGCAAGTAAACTCCGTTGAAAACCCCGATGCAAGCTCTAAGGTGTGCGTCCTTGCGTTTATAGCTTTGACCGCAGTATTGGCACGGGTTGGCCAACCCCAGCTTGCTGTCCTTGATGTCCTGGATGCATCGTTGGATCAATGGGTCACACTCCGGGTGTTTCTGGGACATGTGTCGGCGAACATACTGTGGCTTGACACTCCAGTGATTACATTCCACACAGTGGTGATGTTTGGCCTGAACACACGGTAGCAATGCCAAGTCTTGCCAATTGCAGCTGTGAGCACAGTCCAGAACTTCTTGCGAATAGATCAAGGCATCAGTCAGTAAGGGGAGGACCGTCTGGATCGTAGTGTCATTCTGGTACAGAGCTCTCAGAAACTCACAGCTGCGCGAATTGACATGATAGTTAAAGGCATGCCAGGTGCTGAACTGGTGAAGGCAGTGTTTACACTGTGGCATACCGTCCTTAGCATGGGACATCTCGGCACCCTGGATGGAAGCCTTAACTTCTTGATCACGCTGCACTTGCTGTTCAGCATCCAGGTGGTTACAGTACATGTGCTTGCGCAGGGAGGCTTGCGTGGAAAATTCTTGACCACAAACCTCACAGCTGAAGACTTCATGAAGGACCCGGTCAACTGGCTGGAGCTTCGTTGGTAGGCTTGGGCTGCTCGAGGTAGGGTCACTCCAACCACCCGAGCTAGCAGAGAGGTGCCCTCTCACAATGGTTCTCCACTGCTGTTGGGCCTCGCCTGGGCGCAGAATGGCATGCAGGAATTGGTCAGCATGCTGTCGGTGCTCAAGGGCCTGGCGAAGCCGACGTAGGGGGTCAGGGAGGCGGAGCCGTCGGGCGAAGTCCTCGTTGGATTCTTTGGTGATCATGCTGTGAGAATTGGCGATGGATCTGGCTTGCTTCATCAACTGCACTTGTAGTGTCTGTAACTCCTTAAGGGGGAGACCTGTGCAGTCAAGACCGTGCAGAAGAGCTGGCCAGATACAACCTAGCCACAATCGAAGCCGAAGGTGTACCGGTACAACTCGATTGCGCAGGATCCTGCCGAGCCTGGAGTGGGTGCCTCTGGCCAAGGCCAATCGGTGCCGGAACGTCTCCTGTTCGAACTTACGAAAACTGATCACCGCACCGAGATATACATGTTGGGTCAGAACTTTGATGAGGAGCACTTGCTGGTCAACCACGAATCGGAAGTAACGGGTGCCTTGTTTGGTCACCGTGTACCGCTCGAGGGCTTTGCGTGCTTGAGGTCCTAGGAGTTCCAAGACTACCACCGTTTTATCTTGGCTGATAGTGAGGCCGTGCCTGGTCAAGTGGGCCAGGATGTGCTTCATGGCATTGTAGGCCATCTCGAGATCCCTGCCATGTAGGATAGTCCAAGCGTAATGCATGTCGTCAGCATAGCTGGTATTGGCACGAGACACATCTAAGACCTCAGGCTGATGCATGCCCTGCAGCAGCCATCCGCAGTAAATCGCCCAAAGGAGAGGCGATAGTCCGCAACCTTGTCGGAGTCCACGTTTAAGGCTAACAACTTTCTCCATCCCACAGTGCTTGATGTGTAAACCCGCTGTGTGGTGCACAAGCAAGACGGCCTGGATGAGGTTCTCCGGCACTGCCGCGGCACGAAGTGCCGTCTGCAAGGAAGACCAGGGAACATGATCGTATGCGCAGGAGATGTCAAGTGAAAGGTGACAGCCTCCATAGAGGCCTAGGCCAGTGCGACCCGATCGGCGGCCGTGGATATTGTTGGTGTTGTCCTGGACAAGTTTCCGTACACTGGCACAGTGACTGATAACTCGTTCCAGGGCCTGCGACGGGGACCGGCCACTGACGTAAGCGTACTGCGGGATCTGCTGCAGAAACTCATTGGCCGGGCCTTGAAGGCGCTGGGCAAGGACCGCCGCGAGGAGCTTAGCTTGTAGCGGTAGAAGTGAGATTGGTCTGAGGTGTGCCGGCGACTTCATGGGTTTCCCCGGCTTGGGTAACAAGACTAGTTCACTAAGGCACCACGCCTGCGGAAGGGTGCTGGCTCCAGGGCGCAGGTGGTGATCGTATTGAAGGAGCAGCAGAGGCTTCACCTGTTCTTGGAAGCGCTTCCATAGCGCAGCTGGTGCACACGATCCTGGCAGCGCCTTGCCTGGCTTGAGGCGCATGAAGGCTTGGTCGAGCTCTGTCAGGGAGACCTGGATAGCTTCGGTGAGCACTGGGCTGTCGGCCGTGGGGCCATCATATAGGTTCTCGAAATGGCGCACAATTTGCCGGAACTCAGCCTCATGAGTCTGTAGATGCCCATCTGCCGTCCGAAGTTGAAGTCTCCGCCTCGGGTTGCGGGGAGCAAACTGTTTGGCTGCTTGGAAGACGTTGTCAGCCTGTACCACGTCTGCAACTCTCCGGATCTTCTTGTGTCGGCAGGCCTTGCGGAGAGCTCTAGTTTGGACCTGCAGGCGTGCCGAAAGAGCCCAGGCTCTGATCACTGCGCGCAGGTTGATTCCGGCTTGCCTCCACTTCCCGAGGGTGCTGCCGGCCCGATGTAGCTGATCCCGAGTGTGCCACATGGCATGGACCTGTGGTGTGAGCGTGTCCGGGTTGGGCGGAGTGAGGCTGGCTGGGCCTGTTGGGTCCAGTCTATTGGTGGTGCTCCGCCAGCCTGTGCACAGTACAGCATCTAGATCAGCGTCTTGGGCTTCCGAAGGATGCATATGCGTCATGGCCTGGGCAATCTCTTTGTGGAGCATGTGCTCGAAGGGGGGCTGTCGGAGGGCTTGCTGCACAAGCCTGGGCGGTATCCGACCTGGTGGGTCCTGGCGTCGTGGCCTGCGGGGTGCCAGGATCGAGGCTTGTAGCGGAAGATGGCGGCAGCCCGTCTGAGGGACAAACTTCGTCAAGGAGGGTGTTGCTTGCCTAGACACTTGATCAGCCTGCGCTTCACGGACTATGATGAAATCGATCTGGGAGCCATGCTGTGCTGTGGCATGTGGTGGCACGTAGGTGCGGGCGTTGCGGCCTCGGCCTGACCAGGTGTTCAGGGCACAGCACCTGTGAGCTCGGAGGAGCTCCTGGAATGTGCCTTGATCCTGGTGTGCAGCTCCAGCAGCATCGCAGACGCCCGTCCCGCAGATGGGCGCCTCTGGCTCCAGCCCCGTATTGAAGTCGCCTGCCATGGCAAAGTAGCTGCGCTGGGGTCGGCTGCCAAGCCATTTATCCATGCACTGCCAAAGGCCTTTGCGCTGTTGTACCATCTCCTTGGCCCTGTGTTTTCCCTGGAATGCGGTTTTCCCGGGATTCCAGGCCCACTGGTAAGCGCAAAGTAAGTCAAACGGCGCCTCGAGTAAGAGACGGAGATGAAGAAGACGGCCTGGGCAGAGGATGTTGTAGCGGAGGTGGGTGGAGTCGATGAGTCCTGCACGGATAAGACATAGTATGCCTGCATGTTCCGGTCCTGAGCTATGGATTGCATGCCACTTCGTCGCCTGATGGCTCTCCGCGGCTGCTGTGAACTCGGCATCCTCCTTCCAGGAGGTTTCAAGGATGACACAGATGTCATGACCGCGTCCGGAGTCTTGTTCCTGCTGCAGCCATGTTAAAAGCTCTCTGTACCGAACACTGGTCAGGCCTCCGCTGTTCCAACTGAGGACGCGAAGTCGGGAAGCCTGGTTAGCTCTGGAAGTGTCGTGAGGGGCAGGCTGTCTGGGTACAGGTCGACATCCACCTCGTAGTTGGTCGATATGCATGAGCTTACCTCGATACCACGTGGCCGAGGCAGCATTGTGACTCGCTCTGGTAATTGCTCTCTGGAGGGCCCTCTTCCGTATGTTCAGGGGGCCTGATTGTTGCATCGGGGAGCTATAGCAGGCCGCACTTGGCTTTGCCCCAATGATGATTGGCATGACATTCTGTGTGGCTTCAGAGTCCCTGTAGTGCTCAGCGGACTCAACCCTCACATCTACAGCAACGGCAGTCTTGTGCAGCATAAGGAAGAGGAGTGCATATAAGAATCTGGGCGCAATCGCTCTGGTTGCCACGTTGCTGTCCCGGGACTTGGGACCCGGGCGGCTTTGCAAGAATGAGGTCGAACTGGGCGGTCCTGACCTGGTAAAAGGGCATCGTGTCGGAGAAGGGCCACGTGGGTTAAAATCACTGTCGGATGTCATGAGGGTCCGACGCGGCCAAGCGTGCGGAGCTGGAGGGGCACGGTGTCCTTCTGGGAGCTGTGACCTGTGCCAGGCTGCGTGCAGCAATCGGAGAAGAGGTCCGAACAGTGCGAGGAGGAACCCAGTATAAGCCACCGGCCACAAAGGGAAGGAACAGGAGGTTCTGTACCTGGCGTGCCACGGCATAGGAGAGAATGTGCACAGCGTGAACGTGCCGGGTATAGAGCACGAGGGGTCTGGAGAGATGCAGACTGCCTCCGTATTCTTTTCCGCTGTCAGGCACCGTAGGCATCCAACTGAAGGCTGCTCTGGCTTGAAATTTGAGACGGACTTGTACAGCAGCTGTTCTGAAGGGGCTGACAGAGGCCGTGGTGCCGTGAGCCCAGTCTGATGCAGAAGCCCGGGCCTATGGAAGGAGCTGAGGAGTCTCGCTAGGTGCCTGATGACCGGGCGAGTACTGTGGTCATTGACTAGGTCCCGGGGATCTGCTGTGTCACTACAAGGCAGCTCAGTCAGCAGTTCATGTGTCCCGTCCTCGCCTAGGTAGCAGCTGTTGTGACGAATGCGGTATTCATCACTAAGCTCGAACACTGCATGTGGTTCAAGGTGAGGGCCGCACTTCCTGTTGGCGCGCGGCTTGGCATGCGGCGAAGTGGTCGGGGGGCGCGACGAGGTAGAGCCGGTGGATCCTGAGGTGATGGTGGAGGGCATAGACATCGGCAAGGACGATGGCATAGTCGATGGCATCGTCAAGGCTGGGGCCTCTATGTTGGCGACTGTCGTCGTGTTAGGCACCGAGGGAGCTTTGGCCGGTGTCGGGACCGGGGGTGAAGCTGAGCTCGGTCCAGTGGGGGCCTCTGGCGTCGTGGCCGCCATTGCCTCATCCGCCGCAGCAAGGACCTCGTTGGGAGTCGGAGGCGGACTGACCCCTGGGTAGTGGTACGTGTCACTCGGTGGCGTGCCATCTCCCACCCACATGATATGCGGGTGAAACCTGTCTGAGGGCCTGAGGGGGCGGATGTTCACAACCAAGCCCTCTTGTGTCTGCCAGTCCTCCGGCGGGTGCGTCAGCACCTCTCGGATCCGTCCGCCCATAGTCTGCACCACCGACCCAATCGCCGCTGAAAGGTTGAGCGAGGCCTCCCTGAGAACCCAGATCGGCTGTGGCGGCGGAGGGCCTCGTCGTGGGGAGTTCGGGTGTACCGAGGCCGTGGACCCATTGGAGATCAAGTCATCCTCGACGGATCGGTCGGAGTGGTCCTCCGGCATGGCCGTCTCGCCTCGGCCTCGTCCACTGCGGCCACTGCCCAGGAAGGCGCGGGAAGCCGTCCTGGCATGCACTTGCTCTTGAGCCTGGTGGCGCGTAGCAGCATCTTGAACGCGGTTGCGGCTGCAATGCACGTGAGACTCCAGCATGACATGTCTGAACATCAAGAACATGAATAGGCTCTGTTGAACATGTCGGGGGCACTTGGCTGTCGCGGCCGCCGTACTAGCATGGGCGACGAGGAGGAAGATCCCCGCCCCATAGACTGCCAAGCCCAGGATGGCGCCTAAGAACCCTGCAGGCGCCAAGGTCCAGAGTGCACTCATGGTGAGGGCCTGCATCAAGCACATGTCAGGGCCTGTCGGCTGGCGCCTGGACACTTTGTAGGCGCCTTTGAGTGCTCTATCAATCCATTGTGTCCAGTCCCGGGTCTTGCCTAAGACAAACCACACACAGCATGGCTTTGCCAAACTCCATGTCAAAGCCGCTGACTGCATGCAAAACATGAAGCCGATCATGATCCCGAAGAAGACACCAGCCCTCGTACAGCATAACAAACGCGGAAGCGTGTCGCCATCTTCTGGCACATCTCTGTCTGAGGGCCAGTTGTATGCCGATGCACTGGGTTTGCCAGGTAGACAAGAAGAGTCGTTGTTCAAGTACACGTTGCACGTAATCTTCGAGCGGAGTTGGCTCCATGAAGAGTTTGGGCTTCTTGTTGAACCCGTGGTGCGGTGCATCGCTGGGGGCCATGGCATTAAGCTAGGTGCCCTGAACTTCTGAAGATGTCCGGCTGATTCCACCAAGAGCACACCAAGCAGACCACAGAAACCCCACACAATCCCTTTCCAAGCGATGGGCCCCCTCGGGGCCATGGGGTCCTGCGGACCTTCCTGCATCAAGCCGAGATGCTTATACATACATATATACATACATACATACATACATACATACATACATACATACATACATACATACATACATACATGTATACATGCATGCATGCATACATACATACATGTGTATGTGTATATATATATATATACATATGAATATTATATATATATATATATATATTTATTTATTTATTTATTTATTTACTTACTGTACGTGTTCATGTCCGTGTTTATATCTACATAACTGTCTGTATATATATATATATATGTATATATATGAGTAGTTGTCTTCTTCGATGGTTTGTAGATATACATACATGCATGCATGATCATGCATGCATGCATGCATACATACTTATCTACCTACCTACCTCCCTGCCTACCTGCCTACATACATACATACATACAGACATACAGACATACAGACATCATGCATGCATGCAGCCATACATAACATATGCATATGCAAGTTCATCTGTATATAACATGGTTGCACAGAGAGAGAGAGAGAGAGAGAGAGAGCGAGAAAGAGGTAGAGACCGTGTGTGCGTGTGCATGTGTATATAGATGTGTATATCTTTACATATATACAAAGAAAATACGCATTTACATGTACCCATATAAATATATGTGTGTTTGAGAGAGTGTGTGTGTGTGTGTGCACGTGTACGCAACATACCCATGATACCTATGTACAGTGTAACACCTTTCATGCAGGCAGGGCATCTCATGGCAATGGTCTGGCTTTATGCTTCCACTTGTACCGCACAATGCAGACGCGCTGCCCGAGTTGACTGATGCTAAATTGTCAGCTGTTTCACTACCAGAGGACGGCTTCCCTTTACGGATGCTCACAGTTCACTGTGTTCTGTGCGGTAGCCAGCCGACAGTATGTCTGCCTGCTGACGTCGCGTGCGACCGTGCCACACTCAGAGCGTTTCATTTGAGTGAAGGGCTGACTCAAGTTCATGGTGACTAATGCCAGCTGCGGACTTCACGGCGCCTTCATTCTCGTTCGATGTTCCATCCGTGCATGCTTTCAGTCTGCCATTGGGTAGCCCATGGGGTTGTCCGCGACGAGACTTCTGGTCATGGGGTTTGGCAATCTTGGTCCGTGTTCTTCCGCCCGGTTTCCGTAACTGGTTACATGAGGGGGTCACATGGGATCGCTATCTCGCTATCTGCGGTGTGGTCACTGATCATGCCCGCTGCCAGCATCCTGACATTTTCGGAGCACAAATCTTGGAAGTCCTCAGGTGACGTAAACGATGGGTCCACTGTGGCGATGATATAGTAATTTTGTATTTGCCATGCAACCCAAGATACGCTACATGTTATACCGAAACAGCACACACATCAGAGCCCCACTTCACGAAGCCAGCAGGCTCCGGGCCCACCGGAGGGCCAGCAGCGACAGCGGAGCATTCGACTGGGTTCACGAGGGCACCAGTCAAAACCCCTTGAGTCTGACAAGCCTGAGGAGAAATTATATACACCTTGAGAATGCAAAAGAAAGCCGATAGTCGAGTCTCAGACGGTGGTCCCGGCCATGAGAAGCACGGCAGGCTACGGCCAACGAGCTCCATTTCAGTCTGCTGTGACAAACACAGCTCCTCAGTAATCCCTGCCAGTTGCAGGGGCCCTTTCGATGCGAAACTAGACACACTTGGCTCGGAAGAACACTCTGGCCAAGGTGGTTTGAGTGTGGTCTACTGCCTATACTGGCTCAGCAGCGTGTAGAGTTGGTCCGGCTGTGGGTCACTGTGGCATGAGAGCTCTTACCGCTATGTTTTTGTGAAGCACAATTCTCCTGGAGCAGATGGTGCTGCCTACTGTTTACAAACCTCAACACCAGCTGATGAGCGGAGGTTGCAAGGCTGGCCGCGTCTAGAATGCCTGATCTCAGTTGTGAAAGCTCGAAGCGAGATGTTTGTTCCACTCCTAGCAGCAACTCCATGGCATCCATGCTAAACCACTGCTGCCCATGGTCCATCTGCATGGCAGACCAAAGGCCAGGATTTCCACGAGAGCCCAGCGATGAATCCTAAAACCTGAGTCTCGGAAATATTTGTAGGATAGCTGGGCCTTGCCTTCTGCAAGGTGCCAGGCGCAATGGCCGAGGCCGGGTACCTCGAGCTCAGCGACTGGTAGCTTCTCGGTGCATGAGGGATCTGGTTGCAGTCCGGATTGCCTCT